CAGCAGTGTGAAACAGTTCACGGAGCTCCCATACTTTCAGGCAGCAGCACCTTAGCCCTCCTTGGGGATTTTACCAGCTATCCCCAAGGTCACAGGGGATGGGAATGTAGCAACTCTAGCTGAGCGTGACAAAATGCATGTAGGAGAAAGCTACAAAAGCCCTTCACAAATGAATGGCTACGGGTTTGTGTTGTTGTTTTCTGCCAAGTAACTAAACACTCTTGTCTTCTTAGCACTACCTTGGTGATGAAAAACCCATATTGTTCCTATCTGGTATGAAACTCTTCTCAGGATCCCAATATATTATATGCAGACACACACTCTACTCCCTGCTACAAAATATTCTGCTGAGATCCTCACAGCTAAAATACATTAAAGAAGCCACCGACTGTGCCTATATTACAGCTAACTTTAAATTCACCCCACCCCAGTTTGCCATAGCTACAGTGCCTAAGAGAAACAGCCCTTGGCCTGTGCTGTCCTCTGAACTGTGCCTGCGCATCATCTCAGAGTGCTTGCTAGCACGGGCTACCATCACACTCATGAGCATGATACAAATTAAATGGCATAGGCAATGAGATGCTCACACTCAAGCCCTTGCTCTGGTCCTGCTTTTTTTACTGGAAAGACATGGCTCTGTAAATCTGCACAGGCATAGCCTGAGCTGAAGAAGAAGGGAATAGTAGCTACCCATTAACCTCCTAATCCATCTGCAGCACAGAAGTGGGAGCTTTACCACACTTCACCAGCATGCTATTATGCTCTTCCAGAACAAAAGCCTTTCTTTTCTCAAACACATGCCTGGAAAGGAAGAAGTATATGAGGAAAAAAACCCCAGCATACCCACCTGATTAACCTCCAGGCCTGTGGATATGATCCAGGCAAAGAGGAAAGGTGGCTGTCAGCAAACCCCAGCCATCAGATTTACATTAGTGATTGGGAAAGGTTAAAGCAGCAGGGAACAACTAAAGCTTCTTAACATCCTTGGAAGGAAACATCTCAGAAAGAAACAGAGCCTGCAAACAAAGGAGGGCCACACAGGAAACACAAATTATCCACCTGAGTTATTGCACAAGGGGGGGTTAAATGTGATGAAAAAGCCCCCAGACTTTCAGATTTACCATCTGTAGTGTCGAGAAGGAAGGAGAACTTACAAAAGGATGGTGGCTCGCAAGCCAGCTCCAATCTTTCTTTTGCTCCATACTGATGTGAGGCAGAGTTTGCAGATGGAGAAAGAGGAAAGCAACCTGGCCTTCATGGCTGGATACTGGAATTTCAAACAACACGGTAAACTGAGGATTCCCTGCCCCACTTTTCCCACACCAGCTTTACACACCAGTTCATTACTATCTACCACACCAGCCCTGGGGCGGGAGAGCTGAGGCCCTGGAGAAGCCATTCGCTGGCACGCACAGGGAATAGGTAACGCTGCAAGCCACATCTCTTCCCCAGGCTCTGAATGCACTGCAGGGCAGTGCTGCTTTTTTTGACACACACCCCCAAGGTGATAAATGCAAAGAGCTGAGAAAGGCTGTCTTTTGAAATGAAGGGTGGCTGTGACTCATGCCAATCTTCCACAGCCTCATTGATGCCTTCTGATCCAGGTTTTCTGATTTAGTTTGTGAAGACTTTATAGTAAAATGGACAGAAATCCCTCTTGTGGTTCTCCTGGGCCACAGACATACCTGGAGAATTGTCTCTGAACAAATTTCTGAGATGCTGGCGACCAATTCTGTCAGCTCAAGGAAGAAGCTGGGACGAGCACCATCACTGGTGATGAACATTGTTTGGAAACAAAAGATAAGGAATGTAATCTTGAAGTCAAGGAACCCAATTATTTTATTGTTCATCTAAGAAAATGTTTCTCTCTGCATCAAGTCTCTCTGAAATGCATGGCACAAAACTCAACGGTGCTCTGCACCCACAGACTAGCCACCATGCCAATTTTTTATTTGCTTTTTATTTATCATTCAAAAAATCCATTATTAGTAGTAGTAGTAGTAGTTGTGCTGTCATAGTGTCTTGGAGCCTGAGTCCAGGATCAAGACTTTGATGCAGTAGGAGCTGGGGAAACTCAAGACAAAAAGACTGTCTCAAACCACTTGAGATCTAAGTCCATTAGAAGTGTGGGCCTTCTTCCTCCAGCAAATGTAGTGGCCCTGTATGCAGCTATTACCCTTTTTTTTTTTTTTTCAAATGCAGGGGATTAAATAGCTTTATCTACACTAATGCAAATACCACTTAAGCTAAGTAAAACTTTCCCACCATTGCTTGACTTTCAGTTTGACATACACTTTTTCTAAACACAAGTTCAAAACAATCAAGAAATACTCTTTCATAAGCCCAGTGGTCAGGTGTGCTGTAGAAGAGCTTGTTGGAGGGATAGAGTGGATACCAAAAGTATAAATGTCTTCAAGAAGTGCCTATAGACACTCTTATAAAAAAGATCCCTCAAGGTGATTACATACAAAGGCATAGCTAGCATTTCAAACTTGTATTGCCTAAGCTTCAGCAAGACAAGAGGGTGTAGCAGGATAAGGATCTCTGTATTTGCCCAGGTCTTACACTCCTTTCCTAAGTACCCACTGCCAGCTCTCCTCAGAGAGGTGATAATGGACTTAGAAGGACTTTCTGTCTGACCCAGTATGACTGTTCCCATGTAAAAGAACATGACAAAAAATTTACTCTGAAAAATAAGCTCTAAATTGCTACCTGTTATAATCAAAGCAGAAAAGCCCCTTGTTGTTGACCATCAAAGCTATCGCTACGAGGCACACCAGCTGGTCAAGATGCCACTATGCTGAATAGGGGCAGCTTTGCTCATGAAACACAATCTGAAGATGAGCCACAGCTTGAAGACGAAAGAACACACAAAGAACAAAGTAGCAATGAGCAAACCCGAAGCAAACACCACAGAAAGCAAGAGATCCTAAGGAGGGATTTGAAGGAGCCAGAAAAACTACTTGCTCACACTGTGACATCCAGTCCCCTTGCACACTGTTTTGGGAACTACTAGAGAACTTCTGCCACCATCATGTCACTTGAGCAGTTTTCCCTAGGGGAAAATCTTTTTCAAAGGTTTATAGGCACTGCAGAAAAATCATACACTGAATTGTCAGTTCTAGAGAGGCAATTCGACATTCCCGTTGGACTGAGTGCAAGGGCATCAATCTGAAGCCAGAGGCAGACTATAGAGCGCACGCAGGTTAATCATGAACAGTCAACTCTTACTCATCAGGAGCAGTGGACAGATCAGGACTATTTTGCTTAACCTCTGCTATTTCTAAGGTCACTTGTGCTACAATTAAAACTTCATTCATTAATTCAAACAACAGCAGAAGACACACATGACCGGCAGCTGAGGGAGGAGAAGAACTGCATTCACCAGGGCCCAAACCTGCAGAAGAAAAACCTGTGTTCAGCTCATATAAAACTGGAACTTAAAGAGCCTGCAGAAGACAAGTACTAAGCACCCACCTCAGAACCTGGCAGGCTACCAAACGATCCAGGCAGACTGCCTCTAATTAGACTGATGAAACTACAGTGTGGCTGCGTGATGCAGGTAGTTTTCAGAGCTTCTATCTATAAAGGTTTTCCTTTGCCTTTTTCAGTAACCAAAGTTATAAATGAACTCCTAGTACTTTCACGTTTTTAAAGCTTTTGTGGAATAAAAGTTTGCTACGGTATGTAAGGGCTGGTTTCACTGAAACCCATTTTGGTTTGCTTCGAAACCACAGACTTGTATAAACAGGGGTCCAAGCAAACAAGCATCACGAGCAAAAGGAAAGGGTACTGGCTAGCACCCAGGATTACTTAGTACCAAGGCAAAATACGCATGAGGGAAGTGAATTGCAAACTGCAGGTAAAGAGGAGCTCAAAGCACTGCTTGCAAATGGGTTTTCCACATGATACTTGGCCTCCTCGGGTGATGGGCTTAGAAGTAACTCCTGAGAGGTGGTGGGTGCGGATGCCCAGTGCTGAGAAGAGGGAGAGAGAAGGCACTGAATAGGTGTGCAGCTGCTGGTAGGTGCTGAAGAGCCCGGGGCTCGGCCCAGGGGCAGCAGGTCAGCTACCTCCCAGGCATCCCTCTGCACATCACGAAGGTATCGCTCACTTCCAAATCTCCCGGTCCAAATACATGACTCTGCCAGCTGCTCTTTTGCCTGCGAGAAGAACCGAGCACGTACTTGTCCACCTCTTGCACCACATGACACCGCAGCCTGGCACCTCTTCCTCACAGCCCGGACGTAACATTTTGGAGGAGGCTAACAGCCTCACCCACGAGCAGCGCTTCTGAAGAGCCGAAATCCCACAGAAGTCGGGTGCTTGAAACAGACCTTCCCCTTCTTGCCCCCCAAAGGCAGAGACTGGAGAGACGGCGACCGCGCAGCAGACTTCCTACCCAATTTAGGAGACACCAGCTCCCCCCCCCCGGAGGACTCGCGCGGCTCCTCCCAGCCCGCGGCCGGCTGGGGGA